ACTGTTAAACTGTGGTCTACTCTTGTAGGACACCCTTTTATCGATCTGGAAAACTCTGGTCCACTCCTGTAGGACACTCTTGTTGGACACACTTTGTGGAAAACTCTGGTCCACTCTTGTAGGACACTCTTGTCACACACCCTTGACATTCTTGTGGAAACAGAGGTGGCTGCCTGACTGTTTGACATGGTGTTTGCACTTGCAAGCAGTTGGATGAGAGTTGCACCATGCACCATGCACTGCGTGAACCTTGGGCTTAGTGTCTCTTGTTGTTTGCAAGCGGCCTACGCTTGAGATGCCGAACGCTTCTCTTTAAAGGCATTCACTTGCTTGGACGTCATGATCGATAAATGCTTCCATGTTGGCGCAGGTCCTGACTCCAAGCAAGGATTTGAATCTTGCTCACTGGGCCAGCTGACCCAGGGCTCTGAGAGGATGTGCTGTAAGGCTTCTAGATGCCTGCCTGCTACCTGTTCTCCGATTGGTGCAGTATCTTGTAGCACCGGAGGTCATAGATCTTCGATCAAGCGACACACTGTGTTAGACAGTGTGATGTGAGACTTCTTCACTTGGGTCTCATGCTGTAGTATATCCTCCGCGAGTTTGAGAACCCTGCATCTGTGAGGATTCATAGCTGCTGCCGCGATTCTTTTTGGCGATGGGAGATGCCGGATCCATGGATTTGATCTCCTGGCTGTGGCTGTCCCGCAATGGACCCTGTTGCTAGCCACAGCTAGCATAGCGGCCGTAGGGAATGGATGTCAGTACTGGGATCGGCGCATCGTAGATTTTCCCACTGTACTTGTCCTTCTGTATGCCACCTCTTTTGTCCGAGTGCGGCAGGACAACCAGCTGCAAGTAGTACACCAGCCTTGAGCTGCAAGGTGACTTGTGTTCCATCACTCAAGGACCTCATCGCCGAAAGAAGATGTGGCTCCAGCTTCTGCTCGTTTTGCTCACCTTGCTCACCTTGTCTTCGCACAAGAACTCAGACTCGGTGTTGCTGTCCTTGCTGACAGTTCGTCGCACAGTGATGAGCAGGCTTCGTCCATCTCAAGGTCTTGCTCCAGTTTCCGACAGGGACACATGTCCGACAGAGTGCCGTTAGTGCATCAAAAATACCATTCCACGAACTGTCCACGAACAGCCTTGGGTTCTACGAAGGTCAACCGCCTTCCACGACGTTAGTATAGCAAAACCCTTTCTGTGCACTACCCTTCCGTTTGCCTTTGAAGAATATAGATGGGTCAGTTTGGTGCCATTGACCTATAAAACACCAACTAGGCCTCCTCTCAGGCTATGGGTTATACCATTCTGATATCTGCCATAAGACCAGGGTGGGATATCCCAGAGACCAACGTATCGACCGATCTCCTGCCACATCCCACAGCTGTCTCCTATCCTGCCTCTCACTTTCGCTCGCGGCCTTTCCTGGTGAGGCTGCGCTTGTGGACGTGGCCAAATGCTGGAAGCTGTGCAACCCTGATGATGATG